CTCCTACCATACAAGGCTTCATAAGGTGCCATACCTATACTAGAGTGGTAACTATTATTATAGGTAAACTCTATCAAAGGTAAAAGACTATCCCAACTTCCCCCTTGGTCCAACACACAGGCTCTAAGCAAATCCTCTAAAGATTGAATAGTCCTTTCAGTCTGACCATCAGTTTGAGGGTAGTAAGTTGAACTAAGTCTAAGTTGGGTCCCCAAAGCTCGTTGTAGGCTCTCCCAAAAACCTAGAGGTGAATCTAGGGTCTCTGTCTGAAACTATGCTAGATGGTATCCCATGTAATCTCACAATCTCATCAATATACAATCTAGCCAATTTTTCTAGAGAATACTTAATGTTAATAGGTAAGAAATGTGCACTCTTAGTCAATCTATCAACTATAACCCAAATGGAATCATATCCTCTCCTAGTCCTAGGCAAAGCAACTACAAAATCCATGGAAATGCTATCCCATTTCCACTCGGGTATACTCAAAGGCTGAAGTAGTCCTGAAGGTTTTTGATGCTCTATCTTAGCCTTCTGACACACTAAACAGACACTCACAAATTCATCTATATCTTTCTTCATCCTAGACCACCAGAATACCCTCCTAAGGTCATGATACATCTTAGTTGCTCCTGGGGTGAAAACTAAGCTTGCTCCTATGACCTTCCTCTAGGATCAATCGTCTAAGTGTAGGATCACTAGGCACACAAACTCGATCTTTAAATCTTACCACTCCATCTACACCCAAGGTAAATTCTCCTCCAATCCCTTGCCCTATAGCATCACGTCTAGCTACTAGAAATGAATCCACTAATTGTGCTTCTCCAATCTCCTTCAATAACTCACTAATCACCCGAGTCATACCTAGTCTCATCTTAGCCTTCTGACACACTAAACAGACACTCACAAATTCATCTATATCTTTCTTCATCCTAGACCACCAGAATACCCTCCTAAGGTCATGATACATCTTAGTTGCTCCTGGGGTGAAAACTAAGCTTGCTCCTATGACCTTCCTCTAGGATCAATCGTCTAAGTGTAGGATCACTAGGCACACAAACTCGATCTTTAAATCTTACCACTCCATCTACACCCAAGGTAAATTCTCCTCCAATCCCTTGCCCTATAGCATCACGTCTAGCTACTAGAAATGAATCCACTAATTGTGCTTCTCCAATCTCCTTCAATAACTCACTAATCACCCGAGTCATACCTAGTCTCACACTACTATGAGTCA